GTTTCAATCCATAAAGGGCCTTGTGAAGCTTGAGGACCTTATTTGGGTTATCTGAGTCTATGAATCCCTCAGGTTGCATAACATATACCTCCTCCTTTAACTCCCCATTCAAGAAAGATGTCTTTACATCCATATGGTGGACCTCCCATCCTTTTTGTGTTGAGTAGGCAAGTAGGGTTCTTACTGTCTCCAGTCTAGTTACTGGTGCAAAAACTTCTTTGTAGTTAACTCCATATGTATGTACATACCCTTTTGCAACTAGCCTGGCCTTGTGTTTTATGATCTTCCCTCTGGATTCTTCTTTAGCTTAAATACCCATTTCAGACCAATGGCTTTCTGATTTATTGGAAGATCTGAGAGTTCCCAAGTGCCATTTTTCTGTATGGAATTGATCTCCATTGCCATAACCTCCCTCCAGCTCTTATTTCCTTTAGCTTATTCATAGTTTGAGGGTTCCTCCAAGGCCAGAAAACATAGGCCAGCTTCTTCATCTACTTCTCTAGTAGCATCATAGATCTCTTGCAGTGATCTGTAGTTCAAGTGTCCCTCATTTGAGCTTGAACTTGTGTATGATCTTGGTGTGCTGAGAGGAGATGTTTGAGGTGTGGTTCCAACTTCATTTTCATCTTCAGCATTTGCAGCATCATTGTTCCCAACCCCAGCTTCACTCATATGAACTGTGAAAGTGTTCTCATTCATATCTCCTCCTTCAAGATTCTTCTGCCAAGGCCATCCCTTTTCTTCTTCAAATATCACATCCCTGCTTATGATGACTCTTTCTTTTTTAGGATCTAACAGTCTGTAAGCCTTAGAGCCCTCTTCATAGCCAAGTAGAATTGTCAAAGCACTTCTATCATCAAGTTTGGCTACATGAGGTGATGCAGTTTTGGTATGAGCAAGGCATTTAAACACACGCATGTATTGTACATTTGGAACCCTTTCATACCAAGCCTGATAAGGTGTCATCTCCTCTACACTCTTGGTTGGGGCTCTGTTCAGGATATAGACTGAGGTTTTCACAGCCTCCCCCCAAAACTTGGCTGGAACTCTTTTACTTTTCATAATGCTTCTAGTCATTTCCAGGACTGTTTGATTTCTTCTCTCAACAACCCCATTTTGTTAGGGTGAATATGGTGATGTAAGGTGTATTTTCACACCCTCATTCTCACATAACTTCTTGAACTCAGAGGATGTAAATTCACCCCGCCTATCAGTCCTAAAACACTTCAGTTTCTTATTCATTTCATTTTCAGCTAGCCTTTTAAATCTCTTGAATACTTCAAATGCTTCATCTTTATATTTCAAGAGATATATCCACATGAAACGTGAATAGTCATCAACAAGCAACATGAAATACCTGTTACCTCCAGATGTAGGTGGTGAAATGGGCCCACACAGATCTCCATGAATAAATTCAAGCTATTGCTTTGCTCTGAACACTGCTTTTGCAGGAAATGGCATCCTGTGTTGTTTGGCCATAGTGCAACCATCACATACCTTATGAATATGGATTATTTTTGGCATTCCATCTACCATTTTCTTGGTGGTTAGCCTTCTCAGAGCCTGGAAGTTCGTATGCCCATTTCTTGCATGCCACCACCATGCTTAACATGAGACAGACTTTTTGTGCTATTTTTAACTTTGCAACAAATAATTTGTTGCTCTGTCTCTTCACCTTGATGATAAGTCTATTGTTACAATCATAGACCCTCAAGTGACCTTCCTCAATGATCACACGATTACCAGCCTCATCAAGCTGCCCCAAACTAATAATATTGCTTTGTAGCTTGGGTATAAAATATACATTGTTTAGAATCAGGTGTTCCCCATTCTTGCATTGAAAGAGCACTGATCCTAAACCCTGTATATCAATGATTGATCCATCTCCAAACCTTACCTTTCCATGAATGGAATGAGTCCTTGTCTCCTGTCATATGATTGCTGGCACCAGTGTCAAGGAACCATCCTGACTCTTTCTTTGTGTTCTCTTGCATTACCCCTTTGTTGGTTGAGATCTGAGAATTAGTCAATTCACATGTTTCTATCATCAACAATGCAGGTTCTTCTGGCTCTTCCTTCTCAGTTAGATTCACCTGATCTCCCTTCTCTTCTTCTGGACACTATGAGGCAAAGTGCCCCGTTTTTTCACAAGCATAACATTTTATTTTTGACTTATCAAACTTCCTTTTCTGTTGTGGTTCTTCCTCTTTACTGAAAGAGCTACTACTTCCTCTACCTCTTCCACGTCCTCTTCCTCTTCCACCCCTAGTGCTTCTTTGATCTCTAGGGCTCTCTTTTGAATGTTTGGACTCTTCTCTTGCCTTCCATTCTGCCTGATTGAGTAAGACAGTTTCATCTTCTCTTGATCCATAGCAGTGAGTCCTTTCTTCAAATGCCTTGAGTGAACCAATAATATCTTCACAAGTATTGTTTTTTAGATCACCAAACTCTTCTATAGTGGTAGCAATCTGCAGGAACTTTGATGAGGTTGACCTTAACAATTTCTTAGCCACAGCTTCTTCCTCCACCTTGTTTCCTAACCCTCTCAGTTTGCTTACAATAATTTGGAGTTTGCTAGAATAGTCATCAATGTTGTCATCACCTGACATCTTTAGAGCCTCAAAATCCCTCCATAATGATTGGGTTCGTACCTCATTTACCCTCTCAGCCCCTTCATGCATGGTTTTAAGCATGTTCCATGCTCCCTTGACAGTTTTCTTGGGCCATTTTATCTTTGCATGTTTCAACCGTCCCTTCAGTTTCTATAGCATCCCATACCCCTTGGGCCATCATAAACACCTCCATTTTGATGGCCCAAGCAACATAGTTACTCCTCGTAAGCATAGGATATTTGAGAGAGAAGGTGTCAGTTTTGTCTTGTGATGAACTTCCTCCATCTTCCCCAGCCATGATGGATCGTCCTCCTGATTAACTTCCTACTTTGACCTACACACATATTTAGGAAATAAATTTGACTTTACTGTTTAGACACTGTTTGACACTGTTTACGCACTGTTTGACACTGTTTAGACACTGTTTGGCACTGTTTTGCACTGTTTGACACTGTTTTGATGTAGGATAACTTTCTATTTAGGGAAATGAGAAGATGATTTTGGGACGACCCCAAAAAGAAAGCAAGAAGTTAATAGCGGGACGGAGGGAGTATTAAACTGTCTAATTTGGATCATAAGTACAACCTTTTATTTGTAATTGAATTATCAATTAATTACTATTGATTCCAATGAGTGAATAGTCATTAATTGCATCGATATTGAGTCTTGATAAATAAATTGAGTTATTTTTAAATTTGTTCATTCAAAATTTTTTCTAACGAATATGTTTGCATTGTGATATAAATTCTTCATATTATTCTCAATTTTACTTGTCAAACAAAAACGTAGGGGTGGGAAAAACCGAACCGAAACCCGGAAACTGACTCTAGACCGATCCAAATTATGATCTCGGTCCATGTTTTTTCTTTTTAACCGGCCCAAATTAAAAAAAATGGACCGAACCCGAAATTCTGGGTTCATTAACGGGCCTTAAAATCTATAACCTGACCCGGACCGATAAAAACCCGAAACAATTAGCTTTAATATAAAATTAATATAATATATGAATATAACTTTATAAATATTTCCTAATATATGATTATAATCACGATGCATAAAAAATGATTTAGAAACTTTTAGTGACTACAAATATGTTCAATTTGTTTAGCGTAATGACCATGAAAATATATTTATAGCAACTCTAGTCACATTTTATCTATAAATTTTATTTCGTAATATTTTTAAGAAACCTATATTATTTATTTACATGCATCCTAAATAAAATATTAAGATAATTATCTTCTTTGGATTTGAATTGTTGGTGATTTTGGAGACTAATATTTGTGTTATTATTTGCGATTTGTATTTTTGATTAATTTTGTTTGAAAATAGGTGTTAAAATATAAACGAACAATGAGATATTTCACGTTCGAGCTTTAACCGACCCAACCTGAACCCGGGCTACCAAAAACCCGACTCAGACCGAATATAATGGGCTTTATTCCGGTCCCTAATTTTCATAACCCGAGACCTTCCGAGTAATTTCCAGGTTTAGCAAAAACCCAACCCAGACCGGACCGATCACACCCCTACAAAAAGGTTTATATAAGGGGGGCATATATGATATATATGTTCAAAAATTATGGAAGTATAAATGTCCTACCTAATTAAACCCATTAAAATATTTTGAAATATATGTTCTATATAAATAAAATATAGTCAAATCAGAACATGTGATTAGTATAGAAATCAACACGTTGAAATTTTATCAGAACGAGTATGGTATATATATATATATTGTTTTTGTATCGTTATGTTCCAATAAATTGAATGAAATATAAAATATACACAATATTTCAGAACATGCGCATTTTCTTAGAACATGATATATAAAGTATTTCAAAATAGTGAATGGATGTTTTTCAAATTATATGTTATTTTCTAGAACCAGCTCCATAAAGCATTCAAAAATATGGAATTAAATTCAATATTACAAAAAATTCCAAATATACATATCCTATCTAAATGAAATGACTAGTCTTTGTAGTTAATTTGGAAATTGATGATCCATAATATAGGACTTCATTGAAATTAATTTTTATTTATTAATTGGACACAATAGCAATTAATTGATAATTCACTATTCTACCTTACCAAAACAATAAATAAAATCAAGTAATTATAGATACTACCTCATGAACCAACAGAAAAAATAGAAATATAATACTGTTGAGTTTAATCCAACACGATATAATAAATATATGTATGAACACTCAGTTTTTACGTGGAAACCCGAAAGGGAGAAAACCACGGGACTTTTTAGGCTAATGTCCAAGCCCTCTCATTCTCATTAGTCTCTCCTCACCATTACATAGTACAAGTATTGAAGCTCCAATTCATGGAGTATCATCTAATCTAGAGAGCTAGCTAGAGAGAAATAAGGAAGATGAAGCTAAAAGGGATCCCCAAAACATGAAGGGAAGCCTCATATTTATAGGGAAAAGGGGAAAGGTGCTCTCCACCCTAATGGGCCAAATACGGGCCTACTGGGCCAAGGTGGGCCGGATGGCCAGAATGGGCCGAAACGGGCCTTACCAGACGGACTCCGTACTATATCAAGTCTTGGGCTCCTGAACAGTAACGGACCGGGATAATATATCCCAACACAAGTCCCCCAGTTTCTTGAGTAGTGAGTGCGCGAATCTGCTCGAGAAAGTATATTCTTGCCTGCGCTCTACCTCTGCCTGGCTGGAACCTGTGTCTTCAAGTAATCATAATATATGAGTGGGTGTCTGCACTCCTGAACATAATCTGCCGGTGAGGCACCCCCCCCCCCCCTTCTCGACGGGGTCGGGCGAAGGGTGCTCCTCTACGGGCACACTCCCCCTGAATGCATCAGGCGGGAGTAAAGCACTCTGACTCGAGCTTTCCAATCGGAGAAGCTTAGAGGTCCATGCATCTATAAACCGACGTCGCGGTACTGTCAAAACATGATGCACGTGTATATGTATGAATGTATGAGGTATGATGCATGAATGCATGAATGCATGTAATGTATGGGTGCAATGTATGAGAGAAAGAATGTGAGATGTGATAGAAAGTGGTGGCTCTCATCGATAAACAGGGCATGTCAGCACCGGGAGGCAGACGTGCTGCATAAGAGATGTTTGTCGCCATCCTGGAAGGGATGGGCGAGCCGAACATGAGACAGACACGATGGCACAGAGGCGCTGATCGTGCTGCATAAGAGATGTTCGTCGCCATCCTGGAAGGGATGGGCGAGCCGAACATGAGCCAGACACGATGGCACAGAGGCGCTGATCGTGCTGCATAAGACGTTCGTCGCCACCCTGGAAGGAATGGGCGATCCGAACGTGAGCCGGGTACGATGGCGCTGAGGGGCCGATCGTACTGCATAAGACGGTCGTCGCCATCCTGGAGGGAATGGGCGATCCGAACCGTGAATCAGGACACGATGGCGCTGAGGGGCCGATCGTGATGCATAAGACGTTCGTCGCCACCCTGGAAGGGATGGACGAGCTGAACGTGAGCTGGGTATGATGGCGCTGAGGGGCCGATCGTACTGCATAAGACGGTCGTCGCCATCCTGGAGGGAATGGGCGATCCGAACCGTGAATCAGGACACGATGGCGCGGAGGGGCCGATCGTGATGCATAAGACGTTCGTCGCCACCCTGGAAGGGATGGACGAGCTGAACGTGAGCTGGGTATGATGGCGCTGAGGGGCCGATCGTACTGCATAAGACGGTCATCGCCATCCTGGAGGGAATGGGCGATCCGAACCGTGAATCGGGACACGATGGCGCTGAGGGGCCGATCGTGATGCATAAGACGTTCGTCGCCACCCTGGAAGGGATGGACGAGCTGAACGTGAGCTGGGTATGATGGCGCTGAGGGGGCCGATCGTACTGCATAAGACGGTCGTCGCCATCCTGGAGGGAATGGGCGATCCGAACCGTGAATCAGGACACGATGGCGCTGAGGGGCCGATCGTGATGCATAAGACGTTCGTCGCCACCCTGGAAGGGATGGACGAGCTGAACGTGAGCTGGGTATGATGGCGTTGAGGGGCCGATCGTACTGCATAAGACGGTCGTCGCCATCCTGGAGGGAAATGGGCGATCCGAACCGTGAATCAGGACACGATGGCGCTGAGGGGCCGATCGTGATGCATAAGACGTTCGTCGCCACCCTGGAAGGGATGGACGAGCTGAACGTGAGCTGGGTACGATGGCGCTGAGGGGCCGATCGTACTGCATAAGACGGTCGTCGCCATCCTGGAGGGAAATGGGCGATCCGAACCGTGAATCAGGACACGATGGCGCTGAGGGGGCCGATCGTGATGCATAAGACGTTCGTCGCCACCCTGGAAGGGATGGACGAGCTGAACGTGAGCTGGGTACGATGGCGCTGAGGGGCCGATCGTACTGCATAAGACGGTCGTCGCCATCCTGGAGGGAATGGGCGATCCGAACCGTGAATCAGGACACGATGGCGCTGAGGGGCCGATCGTGATGCATAAGACGTTCGTCGCCACCCTGGAAGGGATGGACGAGCTGAACGTGAGCTGGGTACGATGGCGCTGAGGGGCCGATCGTACTGCATAAGACGGTCGTCGCCATCCTGGAGGGAAATGAGCGATCCGAACCGTGAATCTGGACACGATGGCGCTGAGGGGCCGATCGTGATGCATAAAAATAGTGATGATCATCTCATGGCCCTCGGCCTCTCGCGGCCCTCGGCCGTGCTGGTGATGTGTCAAGTCTCTCTCCTGATTGGCTGTGAGAAGCCGATCGTCTGCCAGGACTCCATCCGGGAAGGAATGGTGAGCCTGAAATAAATCCGGGCGATGTCCCTCCTACCTGATCTGGGGAGCTAATCGTCGTTCGTCTACCGTATCCGTGGTCCTATGTACGGACCGCTAAGCGGTGTACACTCGGTATGCAACAGACTCCGGTGGAGAACTTGTCCTGCGTGTCTGACCCATGGGGCTGGTCTTCGTTCGTCTACCGTATCCGTGGTCCTATGTACGGACCGCTAAGCGGTGTACACTCGGCACGCAATCAGACTCCGGTAAAGAACTCGATCTTTGTTCTTCCCAAGTCTCGTGAGTACTGGTCCCCTGGTTTCGCAGGAGACGTTCGTCATCCCAACTATGAGAAGAAACAGGTTTATCCACGTCGGGATTCCCAATTCTTCGTTCCTCCCTGTCGTGGTCCTACTAATCTTCTTACTTCGAAGAAGACGTTCGGTCATCCAACGATCGCAAGGAGGAACAGGTTTATCCACGTCGGGATTCCCTATTCTTCGTTCGTCCCTGTCGTGGTCCTACTAATCTTCTTACTTCGAAGAAGACGTTCAGTCATCCAACGATCGCAAGGAGGAACAGGTTTATCCACGTCGGGATTCCCTGCTTCGTCGTCCCATGCTCGTGGCCCTACTAGCCTTCTGCTTTGGCGGAAGGTGTTCATCGAACCACGGGTCATGGGAGGAACTGGTTTATCTTGTCGAGGTTCCCTTTGGTACGTCTAGCCCCCCCCCCACATTCCTACTAGCCTCCGCGTCGGGAGACGTTCGTCATACGCGGCGAAGGAAGATCAGGCATACCTCGTCAAGACTCCCTCTCTCATAGGATCTCGTCTCCCCTTCTCCCCATCTTTTTTTTTTCTTTTCTTTTTTTTTTTTTCCTTTTTTTTGAGGGAGGAAAATACGTTCATCGGTTCTAAGAATGACCACAAGTGATGTCACACATAATGGTGGTGGGATACAAAAACGAATAAAATGACGAGGCGATGGAATAGCTGGTCGTCATGCGAGGCGATGGTCACCCTCCTGGAGGGGAGTCGTGAGCCCGATCGCTAACTCAAGAAAGTCGGCATTGGGAGCCGATAAACAATGATCATAATGCCGCTGAGCAGTCGGTCCTGATAAGGAGATGACAATAGTGTCCGATCAGGCCGATATATCCAAGCAACGGCTCTCATCCACGCAGCGCGGGGATGAAACCGGTCTTCAAAAGATAAATATGTCGTGCCGAGAGGCCGAACATAACATGATAGTGTCGGCAGCAAGAGGCCGACCTGAAAGAATCAAGCAATGGTCCTCGTCCGCGAGGGGCGGGGACAAGGCCGGTCTTCAAAAGATAAACACGCCGTGTCGGGAGGCCGGTCGTGATATAATAACATCGACGATGAGAGGCCGATCTGAGAAAACAAGCGACAGCCGTCATCCGCGAGGAGCGGGGATGAAACCGGTTTTCAAATATGGAAAGCACGCCGAGCCGGGAGGCCGGTCGTGATATAATGGTGTCGGCAATGAGAGGCCGACCTGAAATCAAGCAACGGTCCTCATCCACGCAGTGCGGGGACGAGGCCGGTCTTCAAATATGATGATCATGCCGTGCCAAGGGGCCGGTCATGATGTAATGATGGCGTCAGACGGCCCTCGGCCATGACGATCTCTTCTAGGCCCTCGGCCTCTGAATGACGGGTGATCGTCTCACGGTTCTCTGTCATGGCATTCGCCTCTAGACCCTCGGCCTCTAGGTGTTCTTCCTAGGCCATCGGTCTCTGGGGTGGAGATGCTCGTCCCACTGTTCTCAACCGTGGTGGTCTCCTCTAGGCCCTCGACCTCTGGGTGGAGATGCTCGTCCATCGGCTCTCAGCCGTGATGGTCTACACTTTAGTTGGCCCTAAACGTCTTTTAATCATTTCGCTCGAACGCGTCGAGCGGCTTCAGCTGCGCAATAAGCATGATAACGGGCCGCACGGCCCGACAATAAATATGCACACATAACCATCTGCATGGCCTTCTCTCTAACACCCACGATTACCGGCCTATGGGTCATCGTGACCCTCGGCCCGGCTCATCGTGCGGGTTTAATGGACGTAACAGCTCGCGGCGGGGCCAATTAGCAGCCCGCCGAACGTCACATAGAGATATTCATCGGTCTGTGAGTTTTCAAACTCAGACCCAAGTTGGTCGCACTGCCCTCGGAAAAACGAGGTTGAGTGCTTTGGTGCCCTCGGGCCCCATAGGCCACGTTCGGCAATAGTCACTTCGCGCCTAATGGCGTAGACTACATTGGGGTATGATCGTCGATCGGGCACTTGGTGCCGGGCGGACTAACGCGCAACCCTCAAATTAAAATGCGTCGTCGGGGCATCGCCCTTCTGAAGACGCTCGGATCACTTAATCACGCTGATCGAGAGTGGGCCAACAGGCCCACAAGAAATTAAATATTCAATAAAATGTTGGCTGAACCAACCATCACCAGAGCTTCGCTCCACATTATTTAATTCGGGACATTTTTATCCCTAATAAATAATAATGGTGTAACAGGTAATAGCAATGATGTTATCCTATCAAAGGCCATTCCGGTATGCTCCACCCGCTAATTAAAGCCGATCAGGGGCGGGCCGACGGGCCCACAACAACCAGTCATTAAATTTAAATGACGGTGAAACTAGTTATCACTAGAGCATTACTCGACATTATTTAATTTCGGGAGATTCTAATCCCTAATAAATAATGGTGATAAAAATACTAGCAATACTAATATTTTACACTAATTAATTAGTAAAAGAGAAAGTATGTGTGATACTTAGCTCTCTGTAGCTCGCTTGAAATGTACGAAGTACTCCGTAGCAGTTCCCACAAATCAAGTGAGATGGTTGACTTTTCCCAATAGAACACGGTGCTCCACTCGCCCTTACTGTTAACTCCCAGAGTTTGGCTACGTGGTCAGCCTCCATCCAAGTAAAGAGCATCCTTTGGGGAGGCAGATGAACATCCCACTAAGGCCGGCAGTGCAGGTCGTCCTCTGACTGTCTTTGTCTCCATGGACGTGGACCGCTGGGCACCAAGGGAAGTAGATGCAGAGTACCCTAAGGCAGATGCAATATTCATCCGCCAACGGATGGTCGACAGTACGTGCCGGACATCTACTGGCGGCGGGGATGGCGGCTATGGCGGAGCAGCGGCGGCGAATTCTCAGCCCGAATCACCCAGACACGGCTCCGGTGCGGCGAGGTCTGGAAACAGGAGGGTGAGTTTCCGCGGAGCACGACGCAGTAGGGGAAAGTGACGGCTTTTCCCGGCGGCTCCGGCAGCCCTGGCGACCCCCTTCCAGATCCGTAAACCTCAATATCCCAAAAATTCCGGATTATTCATCCTCCTCTCAGCCTTGCTACGAAACCCAGATTTTCGAAATTACCTTTTCTTTTTTCCTTGTTTTGCTTCTTACTTTCAGAATCTTTTCCCTCTTTCTTCCCTTGTCGAAAATCAGTCCATTTTCTGTATCTCTTTTGTGGAAAATCAAGCTGAAGTCAGTAGCTTTTCGTATGAATTTTTTTTGTAGAAAACTCAAGAACAGTAGAACACATGAATCTTTTTGGACAGATTCCCACAGACGGCGCCAGTGTTGAGTTTAATCCAACACGATATAATAAATATATGTATGAACACTCAGTTTTTACGTGGAAACCCGAAAGGGAGAAAACCACGGGACTTTTTAGGCTAATGTCCAAGCCCTCTCATTCTCATTAATCTCTCCTCACCATTACATAGTACAAGTATTGAAGCTCCAATTCATGGAGTATCATCTAATCTAGAGAGCTAGCTAGAGAGAAATAAGGAAGAAGAAGCTAAAAGGGATCCCCAAAACATGAAGGGAAGCCTCATATTTATAGGGAAAAGGGGAAAGGTGCTCTCCACCCTAATGGGCCAAATACGGGCCTACTGGGCCAAGGTGGGCCGGATGGCCAGAATGGGCCGAAACGGGCCTTACCAGACGGACTCCGTACTATATCAAGTCTTGGGCTCCTGAACAGTAACGGACCGGGATAATATATCCCAACAAATACGATAGTAAGTCATTGTTAAACAAATGGTAAAAGAACGCAACAAAATAAGCTACTCCCTCCGTCCCTAAATTAACATCTCACTTTCCTTTTCGGTCCATCCCTAAAAAAGTTACATTTTCTTTTTTTGGTAAATAAAACAGTGCAAAACAGTGTCAAACAGTATCAAAATAGTACAAAACAGTGTCATTTTCTTAAACAGTGTCATTTGCAAAAGTGTGTTTTATTTCCCATCTACTTGCATAACTTATGATTGTACTCTTCAAGTTGAACTGATCGAGATCTTGTTTTCTTGCAAAATTGTTCTCTTAATTTTCCCACACCGGAAACATGTGAGGCCTCCAAATACTTTATAACTTACTTTAAATCACGCATCATTGCAATAAGATGTAGTGGCAAAATGGGTGAAAATAAGAACAAGTTTCTCTACGCGTGTTATATTTGCAAATTAATATTAATGATCAATTTGAAAGATTACCCGTGTAGAGAAACTTGTTGTCAATGTTTATTCACTTTAACTATTATAGTTTTCATGTTAATTCTTTTTTTCCCTTATTTAATCCTTTTTATTCCTTAGGAATTGTCATTGTTCATTCACTTTAACAATTATTTTTTAAATTTAAATGTTGATTCACATTTTCTTAATAATTTTTTTTAATTATAAATTAATCATTGCTCTTTCACTTTGACTATAATTTTTTAAATGTTGGTTCACATTTCCTTATGTTACCTTTTTATGAAAAATAATATTCCACCTGTGCGTTGCACGGGATGCAATTTTCCAATTGCTTTCTTGCATGAGATTATGTTTAAAGACAACCCAGACGGGCTCAATCAACCTAGAAATCGATAACTTAGACCAAAAATTGATTCAATTTGTTTTTTTAAAGGATGGATTCAATTAGTATATAGTTATAAATTCGGAAATGGGCAAAACATATTGGAAAAACAAAGGAAAACTCGATCCAGTTATAGTGGAAAAGTCTGGTTTCAGATGTCATTTCAAAACTTTTGTAACTTCTTAAGTATCTTTAATCGAGTAAAGGGTCAGTTTGGTACTCGAAGTTGCATAAAAAGGTTTAAATAAGTCCTTATATAGGAGGCTCTATCTGACCGTCACTATTTGGGGCGGTTTCCGGTGGATTTTTTTGACGAAATTTTTGAGCATCTTATTCATTAAGTCTAGTTTACTCATACCAAATTTCAGCTAAAACTTCAATCGGGAAGGCATTCAAATGAATTCTTGAAGATAACTGCGCAGTTAAAAGCACAATTATCTTCCAGAATTCATTTGAATGGCTTTCCGGTTGAAGTTTTAGCTGAAATTTAGTATGAGTAAACTATACTTAATGAATAAGACTCTCGAAAAAATTCATCAAAAAATTCCTCCAGGAACCGTGCTAAATGCCGACGGCCGTACAGTAAGGACTTATTTGACACTTTTTATGCAACTTCAAGTACCAAACTGACCCTTTACTCATTTTTAATCGGATAGAATTTCAATTCATCATCATCACCCCAATGACGCGAAGACCCCCACTAACGGAGGGATAAGACAAATCGAATAGAATTTCAATTCCAATACAAAATTATGTGATACATTCGTAAATTTATTGTTGGAAAAATGTGTTAAAATTGCATTAAATGGTAATTTTGGGGCAATTTTTTGAGTGAGGTCCACTTCTGATTTGGATCAGGTCAAAGTGGTTTCGGATTGTCCTTGTTAAGAGCTACAATTCGATATATGGTACGCTCAAAACGGATAACGGGTGAATGAGAAATCGCTTTTCAAAGTTTACCCGTTAGAATGGAAAAACTGGGAAAAAGGATGAGTTTCTAGTGTGTTATTTCCCACACCGGAAAACCCAATGGATTTGCAACCCTTTATAAAGGGACTCCTCCCTTAATGAGTTAAGATTCCTAAGGGTAAAGGCTCTCTCCACGCGCGCAGGGGGGTGCAAATCAAATCCCGAAATCGGAGAAGAAAACTCGCGACTTGCGTGCGCGGGCGACCTGCGGACACAAAAATCTATCTCTTAAGAGATATGATTAATTTTTGTTTTCTTCCCGAAACGTTTAATTTTTTCCCAACGGCAGAAGTGCTCGGACAGAAGCCTGCGGAACGGAACACCTTGTTGGTGTTCTGGTGGCCTCGTGACAGAATTTGTTCGCCTCGTGACAGAACCCCTCTTGGGGTCTTCTGTTGGACTCGGAACAGAACCCCTACCGGGGTGTTCTGGTGGAGGTCTACTGTCGCGCATCTGAACCGTTACAACAATAAATGGCCAACATTCTTGTCTTTTAATGCAGCGTTAAATGGACAGTTCATAGACGATTCAATGCCTAACGGACTGGTCATTGATGTCCAACGTTCAGGTCCATTAATTCACCATTTACACACAACAAATCCTCCTGTATAAAAGCCGGCAGGTGGTTTGCAGCAACACACGTTTTTACACGTTCATATATACGCGAGCTCACGTATTCCTTCAACTAAAAACACCTCCAGTCCTCTAAAAAATTCCTAAGTGTTCAGACTTGTTCTCGTTCGCTGGAACTTTTGTTTGTGTGCTCAAACATTAGTTCGTAGTCATCGTATCCTGGGAAACGATTGTTGCAACGCTCCTAGCACCGTGGGAGGCAACAAATACGTTTTAAGGACATCGTGCATAGCACGAGCTTTGACTAATTCTGCTTCATCTCCTTTCTTGTTTTTCTCTAGTCATTTTGTT